GTAAATTTATGGCGTCATTCCCGTGTCGAAAGTTATCGTGACAGGACGTGTTACTGGCTCGAGTTGTATAATTTCGAATACGTAAGTAATTTTATTCCTATTCTTTTATTGAAATTGTAGTTAATTGTTTATTTAATAAACAATTATTGTGATAACGAAGTCAATTAAGCTTTTGAGTTTCTTTGTGTTTTTGTCTTCGAACGTTTACTTGATTATTGAGGTTATTGGAAGCTCTTATTACAATATAAACTTTTGAATTAGAATTTGAATTTATTTATTGCTTTATTTTAATCATACTTGTTTTATAATTTTGATTTTTATTATGAAAATTATGAAAATTATCGTACGATTGCGTCGAGATGATTTCGAAAGAATATCTAATCGCTTATAGCATCTTTTACGATGATTTATGATTTTTCTGTGTTTTCTATCAGAAAATTTCTGTTTTTTAATTATAATTTATTCAAATTATATTCATGTCGACATTTTCGATCATATCGAATCATTCATTGAAACAAACATACAATAATTTATTTATAATAATCAATTTTATTTTATTATCAAATATTTATAATTAAATTATTTCTATGATTCATGTATTTCTTTTCAATATTTATATATTTTTATATTGTTTAAGTATATATATATATATCCTTTTTGCGTCATGCTCGACATGTTTCAACCTGTCGAACACATCCCCACTCTAATTTCTAATTCGTTTAATTCCAAATCGCGGCGCGGGGTGTCATTGTAACATCGACAGTTGGATTGTTTGGACGCGTCGTTTTTCCTTAAAGTGTGTGACTCATTTGTTCTGTTTGCTAGTGTTTACTTGTTATTTTTGTTATTTGTAAATTATTTTTCAATCGATATACGTATTGTTCTTTGTGGTTAAAAATTCTTTGGTGATTAAATTATTCTTTTGTTTCTTCACATGTCTATTCTTTGGACTGCAGGTTAGAATTACAGATAATACGCATTATACCTTTCTAAGATAGAATTTATACATTATTATTTATGTATTATTATGTTATTTTAATATAGTTTATACATTTATTTGAAAATTTATGTTTTCTTTTGTAGATTATTAGTTGATTACTGGTATAATTTCGAAGACAGGAAAAATTCCAACATGGACGCCAAAAGAGCGGTAAAATTTGATGATTATGCGCAATGCAGTCGTTAGAGTCAGTGTTTCGCGCAGTTTCTACGTACAAATATTAGAACGTAATAATTTTGATTAAATTTAATTAAAAATGTGAAATGTGAAAATAAAGTCAGTGTTTCTTTGCCGATTACAATTTAAACGGACGTGTTATGGTCTTTTATTTTTCTTTCTTTAAATTATTCGTTTCCTTACATTAGAGTGTGCTCCAAGTGCTTCAAGAACATTAGGCGATTAACCATCACGCGAAGAGGTAATTGATTCAATTTTAAATTTTTATCAATATAAAATATATGCATATTAAAAATTTTTATACTTAAATTTCAATTTCTTATATTAGAATTTCAATTTTTTTAATAATTAAAAATTATAATTTAATTTATGATTTCTCTTATTTTTTTTACAGATTTTTTCCCCACTTCTCTTATTTGATAATAGTTTTCTTCTAAAAGTTCTGCTTCAAAAAAGACATCATTCGGTGAGTCGCATGCATTTTGATTCCTCTGGTCATTCAATCATGTTGTAGGATGAAAGATCCGAATCGACACGAGTGACTGGTTGTATACGTAGTATTTTGCACGAGCACAGTGACCACGGGTAATTATACCCGTGAGTAGTAACATTTATTTCTGTATTTCATTTATTAGATCAGGATAGGATTTTCTTGCATATCGTGTTTTGATGATAATTAATTTTATATAAATTTTAATATAATTAAATTAAATTTTGATCGAGTATCTTTTAGTAAAGAAATCGGAATTTCCTCTGATTTCGTTGCAAATTTTAATTATTATAGATTAATGATGATAACGCATATTATCGTTATTAAACAATTTTCACTTTTTATTTCATTATAATGTATTGAATTTAGTTATTTAATTATATATATAATAAATATATAAATTAATTCTTCGTATAGAAATGTATAAAATTTTATGTGCAAGAAGATATTTCGCGGCAGGTAGATTTCAAAATCAAAGCTAAAAGTTTTAAACGCTGCTTTTGTATTTTCGAAAATGTGCTTTGATGAAGGGATCGCCTGAGGATTACTTTCATAATTTAATATTTCATTTATAATCAGTATTTCATTTCTTATTATTAATTGTTACAAAATGAATTTTTTACTGCTTTAATATATATTTTTCTTTAATTAATAAAAAGTTATTGGTATATAATTCATTGAATTCATAATACATCTATTAAAGTTTGAAGCAAAATTAATATTAAGAAAATTAATCCGTTAGATAAAAACAAATATATATATAACTTATACTTATATTTTTAGCTCAGGATTTTCAGATTTAATCCTTTCCATGTCCAATGTCAGGATCTCACTCACGTGCCCAGGTGCTACTTGGGTGGGAGAGAGACAATGGGTATGATGAATTTAATTCATAAGCTAATAATAATTTTTAAGCGATTGACGATGAGTTAGTGTATCGTGCACGACGTATTTTCCACATTGTATGTATGTGTATGTGTGTGTGGCATTAGGTTGTGGAATTGCGTCGTTTTAACTATTAATCTATTATTTATAATTTAAAAGACACTTACTTACTTTTTCGATTGATATGAATATTTATATTTAAAATTAGCATAAATATGTAGGCTGGAAATTTGATTGGCTTTCACGCAATGATCGCTAGCCTTCGTCAGTCGATTTCAGGAAAATGGTACGTAAAGTTAGAGTATGAAAGTAGCGTGTCAAGCTCGGGTGTCGGAGGCGTCTCGGGACGCTTTCCCTAGTGTAGGATTTTTGCGCCCGAGCATTATGCGTGAGAATCGTGGAATGAGTGTGTTGGTGTGCCTGTTTTGCCATTTTTTAAATATAGGACTAGGTAGGATAGGTAGTATATTTCTGGTGTGATAGATTAATTATAAGTAGGTAGGGCCGGGCAGATTGTCACAGTTTTTGATCGGGTAGGCGCGTTTTCGCGTGACAATCTGTTTCAGGAAATCAAATTTGAAAAATCGAGGGCCGAGACGAATGGACAATGCCATTTTTTCTTTCTGATTTTTCTCATCGATTTTTCGAATTTCGCGGACGTGGTCGCGAAGTCGATTTCGAAACGAACGTTGCGCTCGAGATTTTGCACGTGTACGGGCAATGATCGCTGCGATCGTTGATCGTCCGTATGCTTTCGCTTTTAGATTACGCGATTTTTTTTTTTATTCGCATAGAAAATCTCGAGCCTAGATTTAAGTTCAGCGAGCATTGCGCTCGAAGAAGGAAGAAGAAGAGGCCCGACAAATTGTCACGAAGAGGGCTGCAACGAATGGCTTCTCACCTTTTGGATCTTCTTTAGATCCAAAGGATGGGAAGCCATTGTTACTACTTTGTCACTGTGCTCGTTTTAGTAATATGTAGTAAATGTTGCGTTGTTTGGCCGATTTGCATGCTGGCCTATTTAGTCATTATCCAGTCATCATCCAGTCATCATCCAGTCGTGGGCAAATCGCGATTTTTTTATTAGTGTTGCGATGAATAAATTACGGTTTGAGTTAGAGTTACGAAAAAAAGAATTTCGGTTTAAATTAACGTTAAGATATAAACAAATTTTGCAATTATTTTTTCAATTTCTTCGATTATAAATTAATATGATTTCTTATAATTCTTTTTTATTCGAATTTGAATTTATTCCACGGCGTTTCTAATATTATTTCTAATATCGCGATTGTTTTAATTCTTTTTCAATTAGTGTTGCGTTGATGATTTAACGCGTTTTTTGAAATAGCATTTACGTTTATAATTTGCCCAAAATCACTGGTAAAACGTAGCTGAAACGTAGCTGTACGAAGATCTTAATGATCAAGGTAAAGATTATAAATAATTTTGTTTATTAACATTGTTTCGATAATTTGATTTTTGTCACACATTAATATATTTTTTTCAAATATAAATCATTTTTAAATGGTCAATTCAATTTGTTGCCAATTTAATTTGTTACGGATATATATAAAAATATATGAAAAAAAAAAAAGAAAAATTTCTTTTAGAGAAACTAATTACGTTTTATTACGAATTTTACTAAATATTTTCTAGTTGGATTTGTTTCAGGAATCAGTTGTACAACCAACACAAAAGAATATTTAGATATATCGTGCAATTTTCCTTTTTTTGTACTATACATACGATTATCAATAAAGTACAATCAACAAGAAGAATTCCAACAACGTTGGATATTCTTCAATCATTCGATCTTACGATACATACAAAGATCGTAACGATGCTGTGAACGTAAGGGCCAAATTTAATCGCTTACAAACCGGAATGCGAGATTTCTTTCTCGAAACGAAAGCAGGATTGGTGGAAGGAATGAAGCAGCGAGAAAGATCGCGTCGCATCATCATCAATCTCCATCCCCTCGGCAATCTTATCACGTGAAACTAATACGAATGTTGGGCAAAAGAGGACGGCGGCATTCGATCGAGATTCGGACGAATCGATCGGTAACGATGGACGCGCGTAAATATTTGGATAATTGGTGGATGGATGGTGGTGGTGGGCCAGGGTCAAGCGACGACGCTTCCTTCCTCCTTCCCAAACGGACGTTTGCTCGGTGACGCAGCATCGTCTAATCTCCATCCCCGATCGCACACGTTGGCACGAATGACGCGGTCGGTCAACGCGGCGGTGGGTAACGGCACACAGGCCAAGTGCATGGGTGGTGGTGGTGATGGTGGTGCGCGGGCGCACCCTGCAGGGTCGAGGGGTGACGGCGTCGCGTCGAGGAGACGCGGTCGGGGAAGCGCAGGTGGGGGTGGGCGTTGGAAAGTAAGAGAGGAAAGAGAAGCGAGAGAGAAGTAGATGGGACGGTGGCGTGCGTGGTAGGGGCAAAGAGAGAGAGAGAGTGGGGAGTTGGCACGCCGACCGGAACGGCCCCACCGAGTTTTATCCAACGATCCGGGAGGCTCGTCGAGGTAGTGGTCCGCGCCCCACAGCCGCGACAGCTCGAAACGCGCGTGCCGCGTCCGTTTCTCCGTCTCTTGGGTAACTAACTCGTTCTCTATCGAGAAAGGGAGGGATAGAAGAGTCGGTCCGAAAGAATTCGTCCGAGTTTTGACCGAGTGTCCACCCACGGTGGACGCGATCCGCCGCGATTTCGTCGCGTTTTCCGTGTCGTCGGGGTGGTGAATTCTCTGTTTTCCCTAGGTGTGCGAGAAGAGCGCGCGATTCGGATCGCGAGACGTTCCTTCTCCATCCGCGAGGTGGTGGGCAATGATAACAGGAGGCGCAAGGGTTTGGAAGGGGGAGACCTCTGCTGACAGTGCGATCGTAGCAGGATTCTGAGTTACCGGAGAAAAGATTTCCAAGGATTCCAACCTCGATATCGTAGACCGGTGCGTGCGGGGTGAGCTGCTGGTGTCAACGGCTAAACCGAGTTACCGAGTTATCGAACCTGCGAAATATATTTTTTTCGCGAGGTAGACATTTGTGAACGCCGGTCGTGTCAGTATATACATATATACATACATATATATACATATACATATATATACACATATACACACGTACATACATATATAATACGTGTTTGGTTGGAGTCGTACCGATCGGGGGAGTCGGAGGAGTTTGGCCAGTGATATTCAACGAACGTTTCCAGGTGCCAGGACATTCGGGGGTGGTGCCGGTTACGTACGCGACACGATCACGAGCGTTCCGGGGCAGTGACGCCTTCGACATTCGCACCTGGACATTCGCGTACGTATTTTACGATACACCTGGCTCTCTCATAGTGTTACCCAGTGCGGCGGTGCCGTGCTATGGCCTCTCTCCTTAGGTACTCTCCTACACCCCCAAACAGGTTATTGATTTTGCCGAAGTAAGGAGGTACGGATGTAGCCCGTACGCCCTGCGGCCTGCGACCTGCTCATTTTTCCACCCCTTCGCCTACTATCTCTCTTCCCCTTCCTTTCTCCTCTTTTTCTCCTACACACACGCACCTACACTCTTTGCTCTTTCTCGCTTGCTTGTCCTTGGTGTTTGCCACCCTCTCACGGCAGGTACAACTCTTACGCGATCTTGTGACACACTTTGACCCAATATCTTCCTACGCTCTCATATATATATATACATATGTTTAAAATTTCGAACGAAATACGTTCGAGAAATTTTTGCTTCGCAAAGAGAGAGAGAGAGAGAGAGAGAGAGATGTTATCGTAACCTCCGTCGTTCGTGATTTTATTCTCCATTCTTCTTTTTCGTGAATGGATGGATAAATCTCGTCTCACGATCGAAGAACGATATAGAAATTGAATGGAGAAACGCGAGGAGGACGAGGTAGACGGACGATGTTGTTTCGTTCCGGAAACAGCCGGTGTCGATTCCCTGAAGCCAGTCTAAAGCAGTGTCGGTATAGTGCATCGTGTCACTGAACCGTTGGAGCAGACTGTTGCGGAGTGCTAGCATGATTATACGCGAGACAACGGGGATACGAGGAGACGATTCCGAGTGACAGCGCGGATCGATCGCCGGCGAACTTTTCACTCTACGAGACTTTGCGGTTCTTTCGCAAAAGCAGCGCCTCGTAGTAAATCAATAGAAGCCACGTGAAGTCGGAACGGGAGATCGCGCTCTCCTTCTCTCCCCTCCCTCCCTCTTCTCTCTTCCTCTCTCCCTCTCTCCCACTCTCGCTTTCTCTCTTTCTATATTTTTCCCACTTCTCTTTCTCCGTCCCATCTCTTTTCCACGCCGTTTCGCCCAACGATTCGCGCGTTTTATTCGCGAATTTGGTCGAAGCAGAGGAACCGGATCGATACGAAGAGAATACGCGGTTCGCTCGTACCACGCTGCTCGCTCGTCTTCCCGCTCTTCCAAACGGAATTAAATGATTAGCGGTGATCGTTTCGAGTTGAGTTTCTCGTTGAATCACGCTGCGTATCGAGCGCTTGTTCCGTCCATCGTTCGCGGACGTCGCGCTGCGATCTCCTCAATTATGTAATAAGAGATCCCCGAAATTCGACTTATCGATCCGGGACGAATGCGTTAATTTTTCACCGATTCTCGTCGCTTCGAATCCTATTTCAATCCGGTTCGTTGAACGTTCGAACCGGGCTATCGAATTCTCGTTTCTATTTCGGTGACATCCACTTCGATCGAAATTTTACTCGTCCTCGATGATCCCATCTCGTCCATCTCGTGTTTCCGTTCTCTCCACGTTTCTCTCCATTCTCTCCATTCGAGTTATTATTTCTCGAGTCGACTCGATTTTCAAAACGAAGATCATCAGGCGAGGATTAAAGTACGAGGATTAATTCGCGTGCAGGGAACGCGAATAATTTAGGAAAGCTAGCTTCGATCGGTGTTTCGGCGAATTTCTCGAACGATCGACGTGTCTTTGATCGAAATAGGGCCAGGTCGTAGGCGTGTCCAACCGAGAAATATAACGGTTCGTATCGCCGTTCCTTTTTATGGACGTGCTATTAGGGAAAATTCGTTTCGCGTTTATCTTAACTAATGAAAAGGAGAGATGAAAAACGCGAGATGATATCGAACGAGTTGCGAGTTGGCCATGAATTATCTAGTTTTCACGTGTCTGTGATTCTATCAATGTCGAGCTGCGAATTACTTCCTCTTACGTAATCTCGTATTTATTCCTCCCGAAATGAATTTGAACGTTAATTTACGTTAAGAGTATAAGGAATAGCGAGAATTAACCATCATCGAACGATATTCTTTCATTGTTATTATTATTTCCGTGAATATCGAATATCGAGTTTTAAAGAATTGTAAATCTCGTAACGACGAATACGATTTTTCCAAATCGCCAAATTAAAATAATTTCCATCGAAATTTAATCTCGAAGTTTGTTCTTTATAAATAAAGTAAAGTATCCGCAAATTCTCTTCTAGTATCGCTCGTATAAAACAAAACACGCGGCCACGCTTCACGGTAGCAGATGGCAAAATACGGCCAATGACCAAGGCGTGCAACGTGCGGCGATCCATGGAAGCCCGCCAGTCCCGAAATACGACGGAAGTAGTATAACGTCCATGCAAGGTTTTCTAAACGGTTAGTAGTGTCGTGGTTTCGGCTTCCATCCGTTCCAAATTTTGACAAATGGATGGAAAATCGTTTCGACGAAAATCGTTTCGTCTCGTTATACTTTTTTTCGTTTCCATTTCGATTTTTCCAAAAGTTGGAAGAAACAAATTTACAAACGAATTACGTTTTCCGAACGTTTCGAGATGACTGTGAAATTATGAAAATATTTTATCAACGCAAGCGTTGTTGAAACTGGCATCGCGAATCTTCGTTTCGAAATGGAACGTACGAAAATCCACGGAATCTCGAGGAGATTGAATATAAGAAATTGTTAAAATTGTTGCGCGTGACATCTCTCTCGGTCTCGAGACTGTGCCTCGTGTGGAAATGGATTATTCTCTATTTGACACTGGCGTAGCGCACACTTTTCCACGTATGACGATGTGTGTGTGAATGCGCGCGCACGCGCCAACAGCCGCGTGGAATACTCGTCTACCCCGAATAGCCCCCCTATCTCTCTCTCTCTCTCTCTCCCTCCCCCTCTCCCTCCCCCTCTCCCTTTTTTTCTCTCTTCCCTTTCGCTGTTCACCGCCTCCGGTTAAACAGTCTTTAACATTTGCGTGCGGTTAGCTTTCTAAGACGCGTCCAAGTTCGTTCGTTCGCTCCGTATCGAGAGTAAAAATTGTGGCGTTCGATTCGAAACAGTTTGACGTGTTGCAGAAACGATGCCGTTCGAGGTATCGTTCAGCCGATGCTCTCGTTGCGATGTAGTTTAGCTCGAGTGGAAAATCAGTTAATCGTGTGTGCATCCTTGGAAGAATTCGATTTGTGTAAAGTAAAAACCAAGTTTTTCGTTTGTGATGTGTGAAGTAAATTTGTTCTCGGTATCGGCATATCTTTAAATGGTTTTTGTTTCTTTTTCGAAGAAAGTGAATTTTTAAACGGTACGTGTATTTATTTTATCACAGTTGATACGTAATAACGAAAGGAGAAAGGTGAAAATATCGTAGGTTTTTGAAACCTATTCCAATGCAATCCAATCTAATTCCAAGTTTCGAAAGATACGAGCGGAAAGGTAACATCATCGATCACTAATTTTCTCCGACCGAGTGCATCGAACCTGTGAATCCCACTATTGGATTAGTTGGATCTACTTGGCAAAATGCTACCCTATAAAATCCAATTCGATTCTTTTCCTCCATCGAGGTAAAAATATTCGACGTGTAGGATTGAAAGGATTTCGATTGTACGAGCGGTGAGAAACGATACGGAAAAAGAATGGAACGCGAAAGGTGGTGGCGGTTTCATCGCCATTTCGCAGCGTTTCATCGCACGAACGAGAATCCTTCGAAATACGGGGATAAAATTTTTACTTCTTACCTCCCTCTCCCTCTCTCTCTCTCTCTCTCTCTCTCTA